ACAGAGAGCCTTTAAGCGTCGGAGTGCCATCGCCACCAGGCCAGGACTTCCCCCGTGACCCCCCATTTCTGTCTGGATGGCGACCCTTTTAAAGAGCAGCGGAACGGATCTCCACCGAGGTCCGTTCCCTGGAGCTCCTTTGTTCGCGGCGCTGAGACTTTCATGGCAGGGGGGGGAGCCGCTTTGAAAAAGCCCGTTGGCTCTTGCCAGCAGTAACTCTCTTTTCTTTTCTACTTGCAGAGCCGCGTGTTGTGTACCAGAGCCGCAGAGTATGTCTTTGCACTGAGGTCGGACTGAAGTCCTCCGCAGCCGGCGCTGGAGGAGACGCCCCGTTGATGAGCGTTCCCATCTGAGCTTTCCCCGGTGGCTGGCGGGCTGCTGCTACCAGAAGGGCTTTGGGGGTCTTTTGTTTTTGCGTTGGGGGTGGGCTTTTGGGGTGGTTTGGTTTTTTTTTTTTTTAATTTTGGGTTTGGTTTTGTTGTTGTGCTCCGGGCACCATGTCAAATTCGGGCTCCCATCAAGACACTGGGAACAAGCCAGAGACGGAAAAAAATAACCAAGATGACTCTCAACCCCCTGTCAACTCCGAGAGGAGGAACAAAAGTGGAATAATAAGTGAACCTTTGAACAAAAGTCTTAAGAAGTCCCGTCCACTCTCCCACTATTCCACCTTTGGTAGCAGCAGCTCGGTAAGCGAACATTCAGAGAAAGGCAACCCCTTAGCTAATGGCAACGAAGCGACTGTGGATAAAAGTCATTCTACCTCAAAGCACAAAAACATCTCTAGTATGCTGAGCAAATTAGACCGGGTGTCGGAGATCTCCTCAGAAGGACAGACCGCCCTACAACAGTTTGCTCAGTCGACAGAAATGCTCAAAAGAGTGGTACAGGAGCATCTTCCTCTAGCAAGCGACCACGGGACTGGTATCTCTGACATGGAGGCAGTCTCAGCTGCAGAGACAATGAACGGCCCCTCTGATTTTCCTTACCTGGGGGCTTTTCCCATCAACCCAGGCCTTTTCATTATGACCCCTGCCGGCGTGTTTCTGGCAGAGAGCGCGCTCCATATGGCTGGCTTGGCAGAGTATCCCATGCAGAATGAGTTGGCATCTGCCATCAATTCGGGGAAAAAGAAACGGAAAAGATGCGGCATGTGCCCGCCCTGCCGAAGACGGATAAACTGCGAGCAGTGCAGCAGTTGTAGGAATCGCAAAACTGGCCACCAGATTTGCAAATTCCGAAAATGTGAAGAACTCAAAAAGAAGCCTTCTGCAGCACTGGAGGTAACCGGCCCCTCTCAGGCACCCTAACCCCTCCTCGGGCTGCGCTCCTGGGTTCGGATCTTGCCCTAGATAATAAAACACCTGGTACTTCTTATTTTTTTATTTTTCCCTTTTCCATTAACAGTTCTCACTGTGAGATGTGTGCTCTGCCCAGGGCCCGCAGCCCCCGCCCTCCCTTACGTGCTGGGGCTGATCGGCTTGGGGGGGAGGCCTGGGGGCTCCCTGGGGTCCCCAGGCGCGCTGGGTTTTGTTCTCCCCTTTGCGGGCAGGGGCAGCAGCGGGTCTCTGCTTGAGTTTCAGTGCTGGCATCCCTTGTCCTGGGCGGGCTGCAGCTTCCCGAGCCAGGGAGCGGCTTCTAACTCGGCGATCGGATCAGAGGATGGGGAGGCAGGAGGCGGCTTTTCGGGGCAGAGCTTGGGGGTAATCGATGACGGTGAAACTGGTGGCCGTGGTGCAGGTGGAGCCCAGCCCCTTAGCTCACTCTTCGGTGGTCCCTGGTTTTGGGTGGTTTAACAGCTGCAGCCTGCGCTGGGCAGCATCTCTCGTGCTGTGGCTGTGCTGGGTCTCCCTGGACCAGCATCTGCCTGGGGCGGTCAGGATGAGGCCATACATATAGTTTGTGAACACATAGCTTGTGTTCAGTGTTGGGCCCCTCATGCCAAGAAGGATGTTGAGGTGCTGGAGCGTGTTCAGAGATGGGCACCGGAGCTGGTGAGGGGTCTGGAGCACAAGTCTGATGAGGAGCGGCTGAGGGAACTGGGGGTGTTCAGTCTGGAGAAGAGGAGGCTGAGGGGAGACCTCATCGCTCTATACAACGACCTGAAAGGGGGTTGTGGTGAGGTGGGGGTTGGTCTCTTCTCCCAAGTAACCAGTGATAGGATGAGAGGAAATGGCCTCAAGTTGCGCCAGGAGAGGTTTAGACTGGGTATCAGGAAAAATTTTTTTACGGACAGAGTGATCGAGCATTGGAACAGGCTGGCCCGGGAGGGACTGGGAGGCGTTCAAAAAACGTGTGGATGTGGCATTTCAGGACGTGGTTTAGTGAGCACGGTGGTGTTGGGTTGATGGTTGAACTGGATGATCTTAAAGGTCTTTTCCAACCTTAATGATTCTGTGATAAGGCACCAGCCGGATGTCCCAGTGGCAGCTGAGCTGCAGTCCCTGCAGGCAGTGCGCCTGCTTCGGCACCCAACTGAGCCGGGAGCACCCCTGCTCCTGCTGCGCCCGCGGAGCGTGGGAATGTCCAAATCTCCCTGGTGTGAGGCTTTGGTACTTGGGCTGTCAGTGCCCACCACGGTCCACCCATGGGTGTTGCCCTTGGCCTCAGAGGAGGGCTGCTGCAAGCTGCCGTTGGGTTGGGGTGCCACCTTGCCAAATCTGCCAGGGAGTGCGACATACACGTGGGGAGCGCAGGAAAAGTCTGGTGACTGGGATTGTCTCATGGGTCTGAAATTCAGCCGGGGCCATGGGCAGCTGCTGGTGGCATGGCGTGGTGTGGCGTGGCTGAGGGCTGGATGCCAGCGGCACTGGGACGCGGTGCAGAGGTGGCACGTGGGCACGCTGCTCTGGCAGAGCCTGCCTCTTGCTGCACACCCGTGGGTGGTCTGGGCCAAGACCTGTCTGCTGGGTCCCCCACGTGTTTTGCTTAAGCCGGGTTTGATTTTGCTGGGAGCTGATCCCACCATCGGCTGTGCTGGCGTGCTTCTTCCTGACGGCGAGCGCATCCCCGGAGCTGGCAAAGGCTAAAAAGTCACCTGGACATCAGTTGGATTGCGCATCCTGGCATGAGGGCATTGCCTATCCTCTGGTCATCCCAAAGAGACGACCCACCATTTTCTTAGCCACGTTCTATGTTTTTCAATTAGCATCAGGTCTGAATGAATAGTGAAGGGGAAAAAAAAATCTGTTTGGGCGGTGGGGATGAGGAGAGGGGGACTGTGTCTTTCAAAAACCGCTGTATTGCTAAATTATATTCTTGTTCTAATTTGCTGAGTCAGTGATCTGGAAAAAGGGAGAAAGGGAAAAAAAAAAGTTCATCTCTTCCAAAGAGTCCTAAAGCGGGTCAATAGACTCGGAGCTCACAGCAGTCAGAGGAGTTGCTCCCTTCTCCTGGCGCTGTGCCGGGTCCGGGGATGATAAATAGCACCAGGAGCCCATGAAACAGTTACCCCCTTGATTGGCTTCCCCACCCTGTGGCTGGCTGTGAAATTGGAGCCATTGAAATAGGGCTCTCCATGTGATAGAGTTGGGCCCCACCAAAGATGGGTCCCCATCCCTCCTGGGCACGACCATAGGTGTGTGGAGGCTGAGAAGAGATGTTGTGCCATGGGAATGGATGCCTGGGCAGATGTGGGTTGCTCCAGGGCATCACCACCCCCTTTTCAGAGCAGATCCTCCCCTCTCTCAGGATATCCACTTGCGCCATGTGTTGACTTTGGTGGGGTCGAACAAGACTGTGGCCGTGTGTGGCTGGGACAGGGACACTGGGATCCCGTCTGATGTCCCGAGTTCACCTGGGTCAGTGAGTGGGTTGTTAAACCTCACCCTACGTCAACCAGCCTTGGTAGTGCATTGCATTGGGCCAACCCTAGGGCAACCACGGGCACCTGCCTTGTGGTGGAGACCCATCTGGAGATGGCCAGGACACAGAGCTACTGCCAGCTCGGCAGCTCCACAGACTGCTGGTCCTAGTGTGGTGCCATCACACTGTAGTGCTCGATACCGGGACAGGAGCGGCCATTCAATGGCCCTTTATATGGGGATGAAAAATTCATAGGGCTTTGTGAAGCATCGTACCCCTCTGTGGGGGGCTGCGCCATTGCACGGGAGAGGAGCGGCCAGCAGTGACTCTGGTCCACCAGTCTGGTGTGTCCAGAGAAGCATCCTCGAAGAGCCCGGGCAGGGGCCGCAGCTGTGATTAAACATTGATCTAAAATCAAGCAGTAAAAAAAAAAAAAAAGAATTAAACCTTTATGGCAGCATTAAAAAAATGGGCTAAATCCCTCTGCCAACGTTAAGCTTTATCTGTGCATCTACAGAGCCCGAATAACCGGTTGCTGCTGGTGTCCCGGTGCAGTGGTGGCTGGCTGAGGCTCTAAGACTGGTGAGGCAGGTCAGATGCTTGGAGCAGGCAGCAACACGTCCCTGCACCAACCAGGCTCCTCTGGGCTCTGCCAGCCCCAGCAGCCCCGGGTAATGCCATGCGGAGTGGTGGCCAGCCCTGGGACGGGTCACCCTGGGCTTGTCTCCAGAGCTGTAGGTCACACAAAGGCCATGAATAGTTGGGATTTGACTCAACAGAGCTGTCCTCCATCTGGAGAAGCCTTGGTGAAGTGCCTTGGTGCCCCAGCTAGCACTGGTGTGAGGGTCACTGCCACCCTCACATGAGTCTCACGGAGAGACACTCTTCACTGGAAGAGAGCAGGATTAGGCTGGACGTAAGGAAGAAGTGTTTTATGGTGAGGGTGGTGAGACACTGGAACAGGTCTCCAGAGAAGTTGCGGATGCCACATCAGTGGAAGGGTTCAAGGTCAGGTTGGATGGGGCTTTTGAAGAACCTCATCTAGTTCTGTGCAAGATGTCCCTGTGCATGACATGGGTTTGGACTGGATTGTCTGTGAAGGTCTCTTCCCACCCAAATACTTCTGTGATTCTGTGATTGTGGGTTTGAGGGGGGAGCTATCCTGGCATCCACATTAGAGCTGGTTGTCCACCCTCCTTTAATAATGAAGGGGCAGAGGTGTTTAAGGTGGCCCTTATCAGACCCATTGGGGAGCCCGCCTCATTCCTCTCTCTGGGGATGATGTATGTGAGTAGGTGGCCCTTGCTGGCGAGTCTGCCATGCTCTGCCCCACTGGTTCTGCATCTGGCACCTTGGCCAGGATCCAGCACGGGTGGTGTGCTGTGCCACAGCCCCTGGCATCATTGGCCAGAGGCAGGTGTCTTCCCCAGACGCCTGATTACGTATTGCAGAGACCTTTGGGGAAGTGGTGATGCCTGCAGCTCTCTGCTTGTTGGCTGCCCCAGTTCAGTTTGCCCTGAGGACCAGGCACAGGCCAGGAGCAGGAGAGGGTGCAATGTGTCAGCAGCCTAGCTGGGCACCACCATGTCTTGTCCATTCTCGTCCTTCGCCCTCCTCCCCTTGCTCAAGCCCCATGTTTGGGTCATGGTGCCTGTGGAAGTTGGGGTCCCTCCCTCATGGGTGGGGGGAGACACTGTCCTGGCTACTCACTGGGGCTTGGTGGGTGTCTTGATCCAAGAGAAGCACCCCATGAGAGATGGCTGGCTTTTGCATGGGCTTAGGGACCTAAATGTGGCATGGTTTTGAATTCTGGGACAGCACATGACGTGCGCTAGCCCTGCACACAGGCTCAACGATGGGAGCTGGGGCTGGGGCTGGCTGTCCCCACGGATGCCCCATGCCCGCCCAGCCGGCTGCCCCATGCCTGTCACTGCAGCCTTGTGGCTTGTTTCCCGATGGTGTCTCTTGCTTGTTTGGAGATGCAGGAGCCGAAGTGCCCTCTGAAGCACGTCCTCTTGGTGATCGTGTGGCCCTATCTGCTGGCTAGAATGGCTAGGCCTTGCTTGAGGGCTGTTGGCATTGAGAGATGTTGTGGTCCTTGCATGCTCCACCCATGGTCTCATGAACGTTGCGTGGGCTTCTCACCCTATCCCGCTGGGAAGCGTACCAGCTTCTTCTAGAGGACCGCAGAGCCATTGGGAACATTGCCCCCCACCTCCTTTCCTGGAGGTGGCTTCAAAGAGGTGTTGTCCATTGTTGGGCGCTTTGTTGCGTGTGGGATTTGAGCCTGGTGGGACTCATCCCTCTTCCCCTGCGAGATGCCAAGAGGTCCCTGGTAGTGCCCGGGGCTGCTCTGTTGGGGACAAGGCTGTTCATCATGGCTGGGTGGCAGTGGGGTGATGTGCCCTTGTGTCCCAAGCAGCTCCCGGGTCTGGTGGCCCCAAGCCCAGCCAGCTCACTCCCTGCCTCAGTTTCCCCCCAAATGCCCTACTAAACCCATCTGTTGGCTGGACTCCTGTCCGCTGGGTGTCTGTCGGTCCGTGGCAGGGGAGGTGGGGGTTGGCAG